GTGGTCTGGCCAGTGCTGGGGGGTTGCAGAGGCTGGTCCTGCTTGGAGCAGGGCGTAGGACTAGGTGATCTCCCCAGGGCCCTTCCAACCTCCTTTCCTATGAGTCTATGAGAGCACTATCTCCACAGCACCAGTCCTCCCAGATCAAGGCCCAGTCGGGCAGGGAGGTTAGGGGCAAGCAGGCAGCAGACCCCGCGCTAGCTCCCACAGGCTTTGTGAGGGGCACTTCAGCCTCCCCCCAGTAGTTTTCCATTTGTGTCCTGAGGACCACGGACCTTTGTCCTCTTGGCACTGTGGCTGCAGTTTAATATTTGAAAGAAGGGTGGACTTAAGGTTCACCTCCAGCGGGAAGCGGAGGAGGGAGAGAACAAGCATGCCTGCAGGGGCCAGGAGGGAGGTGAAGAAAAGGCCCAGAGAAATTCCACGCGAAACCAAGTGACTATTCAGCGGCTTTGCAGAGGATCGAAGGCCCCTGAGCCCCAGATGTCTGAAGGGCACGGGGACCCCAATACTTAACAGGATACAACGGCTAGTCCAAAGCCTTGCCCACTTGGAGAGGAATGCAGTGCCATGAGAGGTGTCTCTAAGGAAGAGCTTTCCACCTACTATTCTGGCCCCCTGACTCTATGTCCTCACAGAAAAAGGACTTGGCTATCTTTCTGCCTACAGATGCTTTTGGCTCCACACCCCTTTGTTCTCAGCTGATTGTTCTCCATAGGGTAGAACATGATGAGATCCACAGCCCTGCCTGTGCATGGGCCCCGGCAGCCCCTCTCTGTTCAGTAGCCCCCTCAGTGCTATGCAAGGGAGGAACAGGGCTGACAAAACATGGCAGAGGCACCTGGTGGGTCACTCTTTTGGAGACAGATTTGGCCTGAGAAGGCTTCATGTTGTGAAGTGCTTTCATCCCTGCAGGGTCAGGCACAGCTCACCCTCCCTGCTTTCAGTAACTCCTGAGATCTCCTGCACTTCTGTTTCAGGAGGGGAACAGAGCACCTGCAAGTTGGTTTCCCCTATCTGCCATTGCACAGTCACTCCTCTCACAGTTTGGTCTTGGCTTTGCATCCCCCAGTGTCTACATCTCGCTCACGGTCACTCATCTGGCAGGCGGCGAGAGCTTCTCTTCATTGGGATATGCTGGTTGGTGCACAACCCTTACAGGAAGCTGTCAACTCGTTATGGAAACACATACTCTACATACCTCTTTGTGTCAGGAACCACATAGCTGCAGAGCAGAACCAACCCATCCCCATATTAACTGGTCAAGAGAGCACATGACTTCTGCTGCACTCCAGCCAATGCAACAGGCACCCCTTCCTCTTCCACATCATGCCCCACTCCCTGCCACAAAATACTAGGGAGGCAGATGCTACCTCCAAATGCAAAAACTCCCACCATGTAATATGTAACATCCAGGCTAAATCTGCACCAGAGACACTCGCATAGAAGCCACGGGAACAAGACAATTCTAGGGGCAGGAGGTTTTGGCAGTAGCTGCAATAGAGAGTTGGATACAGTGTAGTCCGTAAGTTTTTTTTCCCCTTTCTTCATGAGTTGTTTCCTGTGGATGGTGCACCTTACAGACTTGCACGGTTCCTGGCAGGAAAAGAGTTGGCAGTGTGTGTATGTGTCAGGGAAGTGGGGAGACTGCTTACCCCTTTCCTTAGCCTGTGTGCACAGCAAGGGGAGGATGTGGGTAGGCAGGCAATCATTCTGCCATGCTTTCTGCCCTGGGAGCAAATTTATAAGGTCTCTTGCATGATTTCCCACTGGTATTAGGAGGCCAATGGCTTGCAGCCTGCTGGCACTTGACACTACCTTATAAGCCTGCTTGGACAAAGTCTACTCAATGCCTGAGGCATGGGTTCTCACCTGCACCAACACTAGGGGAGCTGAAGCTAGTTTTAGTAACAGTAGCACATGTGTATAACAATGTCTGTAGTGCAGCTGGGGCACGGGTGGGAGTGAGACAGCATGGCATGGAAATGATGCTGGTCCCAGCCACCCAGCAGAATGGAAAGCTGGGGCTATACTCGGAGCTTGCTGTTGGTCACGGAGTACCAGCACCACTTTCAGCAAGCTTGTGGTCCCAGCAGACTCCCCGAGAGCCACCTGCAGCATTTAGCTAAGGTACCTGTGACTAGTTATGATGTGCTGCATTCAAGTTGCCAGGAAGGTTTATCCAGAGCAGGCATTGGGTGTCACTGTCACAGACCACTAGTGCATGCTATAAATTAATCCTGTGTTTGACATTGGAGAAAGCACGGTTTCCGGAACAGGGCAGAGCAGTGACTGCTCAGACACTGGCACATCAGCAGCGTCAGCTGGACAGGCATGCAGAAGAGATGTTTCTGAAATCCTGCATGATGAAAGGCCATATAAACAGGTAGTCAGACTCCCTGAATATGCAGGACCTCGGGCAAACACTGTAACAGGGACACAAATTCAAAAGGTAGTTACTGGGCTGCAGGCTGTCATAGGAACCACAGCCCAGAATCCAGTTTGCAGTCCTTAAACTGCAGCTCAATCCTTAAACTAGTCAGGTTTTGTCCTGGAAGTTCCCCCAAGCTGGCTGTGATTGCCTAGCCAATGAAAGCTATGCTGCAAATTTAAACCCTCCACAAAGCTACAGCTGATAGACTGAAAACTTAAATCGAGTTGGGAGACAGTCAACAGCTGAGATTCTCTGAGCAACCTTAAGCTGGCTCCACAGGATATCATTTAACAGAAACTTGCAAGGCAATGTGACAGCAGACAAGTCTGAGTTATAGCACTTCATAGCAGGGAGTTCCTACCAAGCCAGAACCTAGAACACTCTGTTCCTTTCTAGACACCTCAATACTAGAAAAATAAACTGAGATAAGGTGAAGAAAAAAAGTGGCAACATGCTGAAAGCAGAACTCTCTCAAACTGAGTAAATAGCAGCACAGTTCCCTGTTGGCATTAGGTACAGAAACATGAGGCGTGGGTGTGCATGGTGTGTTATGTGTGTCAACACAGAGAGATAAAACTTAAAATATCCAGGAGCAAGGCAAGAGACCGATGAACTGCACCCTCTCCTGCATCTGCAATAATCCCATCACCTAAGAACAGGGAGAAGTCAAAATGCATGGAAATATCTGAGAGAAAGTGGAAATCTCCCAACACCAACTGGTTCAGGAAGTCCCAGTGTTACGGCTTTTCTATGGCTCTGATGCACTGCATTTGGTGCCAATGTCAGGGCCCCAGCTGGAAGCCTCCATCAGATATACTTGTTACAAGTGGAGCTTAGCTTCTAACTTAATTTGCTTTTCTCTAAGGTGACAGGCTGGAGTGGCCTCATGACTGTAATGAAGACATGGGCTCTAGAATGGACCCCAATGCTTAGACATAAGGAGTCAGAGGGGTGATTGTCCAGAGCTGCCACGTGGGCAGGGGCTGCTGAATTCCCCTTTACATAGGATTTGCCCATGGCAGGGCATCCCCCATGGGAGGCACCTCAACATTTTGTCCCATTTCAAAAACCTACTTATGCTTCTGAATGGATCCCATCTCAGGCAGCATGCTAGTCGATGGAGAGGGTCTGCAGCCAGGGCCCCACTGTACAGCTCTGATATCCCAAGCAGCTGAGGGCAGAAGGGTGCACCTCCTCCCAGTATGAGACCTACAGACGCTTCAGAGGGAACAGCAGCTGTCAGTGAAGTGACAACTGTGAAACAATCTCCTCTTACACAGATGTCAGCATCCCCACATATACCACCGGAAGCTGGGGGGGCTCCCTTCCCTTCTTGGTGATTTCCAGGCCCAGGCCCTTTCTGGTCTCCCAGCGGTGGGAGATACACATGCACAAAGCACACACTTCTCCAGGCATGAAAGCTCAGTGCCCCATCCTCCCAACCTCACTTCATTGGCTGCCCAAGGGCATCCCAGCTGTAGCCTCATCAGGGGACTGGAGCATACAGGTACACATGTGGGATGCCCTGCCATGGGCAAATCCTATGTA